ATAGCGTATAGTAACACACTAAGGGGACTGATCGCTTGTCCTGCATAGACATACACTGTCAATCATCGTCTATAGTCATAGTATATTTCAAACCGCTGGGCAGTGTTGGTAGGAGCGTTCTGCATAATTGAACAATGAACATTCGCAGAGCATGCGTAGATTTGCGCTAGCCTTGCCGATAAGAAAAAAAGGTCTGTTAATAAAAACCTGCATAAAATTCAGGCTTCTTTTATTTTAGTTAGCGTGTTCCAATTATTAGCTGACACTTCTGTCGTATGCGTCACAGGTCTTTTGATAACTCTTAACACCACCAGTTCCTGAAGGCTGTTCTGTGCGAAACGTTAACGCTTACGTAAATGAAAAGGTGATTTGAGTAAGCAGAGCAGCCTTGCACCCCCATTTTTGCGAATTCCGGTAAGGCAAACGGGCGTTTTGGTTGCGTCAAACCACTTTAAGGGTACAAAGAAAATAACATTGCATCAGCGGAACCAAGAACGAAACAACGCGTTTTGGTAAACCTAACTTACTCGTTTTTTTTATTTGTTTGTAAAAGTGTAATTATGAACATAACTAAAGTGCCTCAGACAGGTTAGCCGACGTTTCGATAGGTGTATTTGCCAATGGCGGTTTGTCATTGTTGGTGTGGTCATTTTAAAATGGTTGGCCGCTGACGTCACGTCACGTATTAGTCAATAATCACTTTAGTCACTAACCAAGGCTTATTCGACAACCAAGCCGCTATAGTTCTGGAACATGCGATACTCAGGATTTCGGCATCTGTTTGGATCCATGCAGCTTGGAGTCGCTTTGTCGCAAGAAGATGTTTAGTGAATATTCAGCAGTTCCGATTCACCACCTCGAGCGCGTTTTGGGTCTAGCAATTCAAATCGTCTCGCGAAGTTAACGATTCGTTCTTTTATTCGAAACAAACGTCGAAACAGAACAATAAACACAGCCACAAGTGAGTTTGGAGCCACAAGCACCGACACTACCCATTCAAGCCGTGTACTACCCGAAATTCCGCAAAATGGATGGATGGATGGATTAGTATGGCTGTACCCTTTAAAAGATGGGGCGGTGGCTAATGCCACCAAGCCGTAATACTTAGGGAACCAAACACTAGATTTATTTTTTTCCTTTAATTAGGGAGGTTGAGGACTGGTACTTTGCAGTGAAGGGTTTAATTTTCACTCGTGCCTTGACTTTAGCCACCAATCAGATAACCTCCTTCTAGTTAATTCTACCCGCTTAGAGTCTATTTTGCCCTCCCTGTCCCTTAAACCCCAGTGCATTGAAAAACTCTGTGCCATCATTCTGGACTATAGGGTGATTCACTTAAAAAAACAGCGAGAATAACGAGGCACAAGAGAAAGAAGGAGACAGACAGCGGCACGTTAGCTATAGGGTGAAGCCCTTCACAGAACATCATCAAGTGTTCGGCAGTTTCCTCCTCCTCTCCACACGCACTGCACACCGTGTCTACCCCTTCGTATTCGGCCCCATATGTCTTGATTCGCAATACTCGCGTCCTCCCGTCCTTACCAGCGAAAATCGCAGTGCGAAACTTCCCTCTAGTAAGTATTGTCAGAAACTCCACGCGGAAAATGGCCTGTAGGCAATGAAGATATGCGCCGTCAAAACCGTTAACACGCATGCCCGCTCTGCTGTTTGTCTACCTGTTTGTCTACGCAGACCTTACGTTTCGTCACACTCTCTCCCACGCCTGTCTATTCCTCACCGAGGCACCAGGAGGCTTCTTCTCAACGCAGCCTCCAAGGTTCGCGTCGTAATAAGCGAAGTTCCGGGCTCGCACCCATGCAAGGCCGCGGCGTCCAAGCTCGACCTTGTAATCTCGCGGGCACAGCGAAAAACTGACTGCGCCGTACAAAAACAAAAACAAACAGTAGCGTTGTATTGTGGGGGTGAACCTCGAAACACGTCTCGAAACAGGCGAAGTACGATCTCACCACGAGGCGAACGTCACTCTGCCGGTGATGCGAGGAATGTTAAAAGATGGTCTTCGCGCGTGCTGTGGCCGATCGGCTGACTCGTTGTCTCGCCAGCGTTTTGCTTATTCGTTTACTTTTTCTTCTTCCCGCCGTTGTTGTCGGCGGCCTTGGGAAAAGCTTATGTCCGAGACCCCCCCCCCCCCCCCCTCCGTTTTTTTTTTTTTTGTGTACGCCTGCTCAAACGGGGACGCTGTCGCTCAATGTATGCAGCAGCGGCACAGGCGTCTCCCATGTGGCTGGCTGGATGCGTTGCCTTCGCACGGATGCATGCGCCAGCGCCACCTTTTCGGGAATCATTTTGCTTCATTTTTCTTTTTTTTTTTCGGGGCGCAGCTCCTTATGGCGTCACCCGTTCGTCCCGTTATCGCAGTAACCACCGCTCGCTGATTCTCCAATCGGGCCATAGATGGCGCTCCTTGCACTATGGAACGAATACATATACGCAGAGGAATGCAAAATCGTTCCACACTATTGAGGGATCTTTCCAACGAAGACATCAAAAGGTTCGTTCGTCTCCCGTTATCTTTTGTAACCACCGGTGGCACATACCCGAGAGAGCGGGTATGTGCCACAAGAGATAGACTTTTAGGGGCGAAGCTCCTTAAGCCGTGGGTCATGCGTCCTCGGTGTATGTATTAGGTAGCCACCTCTCGTTGAGCTCTTGGAATGTGCGCTAAATCGTTTAGTTCTAAAATGTCCGCTAGATGGCGATTCTTGTATGTAATCAATATATGATGAAACGATGCGAGATGGTGGTACTTGGAGTGTTCACTAGACGGTTCACTAGACGGATCAACATACAGACAGACGGACAGACGCACGGACGGACGCTTCGCCCCACTCATCATCATTCAGTCCGTGGATGTGCTGAGATTTTTTCTTTTACTCGACATCGAATATTTTCTCGTTCAGACAACGAATCGAAACTTTGTTTTCTCCTTTGTTCGCCCTGATTCCGAACGGATGCCTCCGGATGCGAGAATTAGCTTTTTTTTTTTTTAAATACAGTTTCTGATAGTTTGTGGCGGAGAGGAATTCACGGTCTGCTCTGTCGGCTGCATGTATACCGACTCTTCTGCAACCTCTGGTCCCTTTCTTTCTTGTTTTTTTTCCTCCCTTTTCTTAAGGCAGCTTTCTTTAATGGCCTGATGCAGCAGGTAAGGTGACGTAATCATTATGTCTCATACAGCCAAATTCGTGACGCCACAGTGACCACAAGCTGACGTCATATCACATGACATCATCGCTTGCTCTCGAAGGCGGGTCGATTCCAGTGGCTCCAAAGCTTTTGGGGGGGATCAATACAGTCTGCTAGGAAAATGTTTAAAACAAATGTTCAACGATTTAGCCTATAATGTACTATACTATGGGTGAGCAACAAACTGCCCCAGTTTCGATGCAGAAATTAAGTGTTTAGAATAAGTGTTAAACAATTTAGAGTACACGAAGCCGTCCCTGGTAACACCTAGATGGTAGTGTGTGTTTAGAAAAAAAAAATGTCTAACGATTTCGAGTACTTCGTTGTTTAGAACAACCGTTTTCTACGATTTGAGTACGATATACTCTATTATGGGAGAACACAACGGCGTCCCAGCTCGATCATCATTGTGCTGTGTTTTGAAAAATGTTTAACGATGTTGAGTACTTCGTACTCAACTATGGGAGAGCACTGAGCCGTCCCGACTGGGGGGGGGGGGGGGGGGTCGGAAAAAAGTGGGTAACGATTTAGAGCACTTGATGCTCCACTATGGGAGAGCTTAAAGCCGTCCCCAAGTAACCATGGCTCTAGCAATGAGAATTATTACCTATGGGAAAACTCACATTTTTAGGCAAACGCACGCAGTGACTTAGCCGGGTGCGTTGAATCGTGAATTGTGGTCTTTCATTTCGCTCTAGTTAAGAGTCTTTATTTTGTTCTAGTTAAGCTTTTTGCTGTGTCATATGCCTTAAGTGACGGGTGGTTCAGTGTCAGTGCTTTGACGGTGTCGTGGCCTTTAGTTTTTTCAACCATATGCTTGCTATGTACGCTCTGTAGACAGGTTTTCTGTACAGATGTTTTTCACCTGCGCATCGAATGTACACGGCGTTCGGGTGGATTAAAGCCGTACGGACATCCTGAAAGGTGGTTTTCGCACTTCTAGCGGGTCTTAGGTGTACGCACGAAATACTGTGCGACTCTCTGTCGTTGTTTCTGTTCATCTGATGCGAATTGAATAACGTCGTCGGGGCCATCTTATTTTTCGCATCGTACACGACTGCTATGCTAGGCAGTATATAGTCAGATTCAGCGGTACCTTGCTCGAAAGGCTGTTACAACAGCGTTTCTGATTGACTCAGAATGTCGCCTTCTTACAGAATTTTACGATGTCGATAAGAACAGCTATACTAACCAACGTCGAGCATCCACAGCTGATCACTTTAGGCGGAATCGTTTTATCTGCTCACACAGAAGCAGAATTCAAGTCGGTGTACATTATACATAGGTAGGAGTAATATGAGGAGCCTGATAACATTATTCAGTGCTTATTGACTCTTAGTACCTTACACTGAAAAATCAAAACATCTTTATGCCATGTTTTACTATTCATTAAAAAATTGTCCGTAACAGCAACTTGACACTGGCTCAACTATGAATGTTAACGATCTGCTTTGAAATATAAAACTAGTTTGTTCCTCGGAATTCCAGCAAGCCGAGCTTTTTAGTGGGAATTCTTCATAAAAGTTGTAGGCGTGCAAGCAAATACGCACACGAGAGAGAAATCAGGACGACAGAGTTGTTCTATAGTCGGCGATGTGTTCTGTTTTGCTGATTTCCCTCTTGCGTCCTCGATTTATGGACGCTTTGCGTCTATTGCCTCGTTTTTTTTTTTTTTCTTGCAGTCAAGCTTCCATTTAGGCCTATACTCTCTCACTCAATCAATGCATTCGAGCACAGTCGTGCTTATAGTTTCGGAATCAACAATCGTGGTTGTTCTCTGTGTTGCTTTCCAGGCGAAGCCATCCACTTAGCCAGGGATTTCGGTTACGTGTGCGAGACCGAGTTCCCTTCCAGACAGGTGGCGGAGTACCTCTGTAGAAATCACGCCGAACCAACCGACCTCTACCGCAGAAAAGAAGTGCTGCTTGCCACCAAGTGAGTATACTTCCCGCTTCTGATTTTTTTAAAACGATCAATTTCTCCGAGGAATTCTCCTGCGCTCAGATAGTGTGTAGCTGGCTGGGTATGGCCCGTTTTCGACTTAACTCGAATACCGTACTTATTAAGGAAAACCACAAAAGTCAGTACGACAAAAGGGGACGCACTGCGAACTTTTCGTTTTTTTTTTCGATGTTGCTTGAAGTATGTCAAACCAGTGCAACAAGCCTGACCGCTCGCTCTTTTCAAATTACCGGATTTGCTCGCGTGCTAGCTGCACCACCTTATTTAGCCTATCCGTGGTTATAGGAGCACCGCTGCCTTCATTCAAGCTAACTTCACTAATAAAGCTGTCTACCCATTCCATTTCTTTTCTTCGTTTTTATTTGCCAAACATCTTATACTGTGACGCTTCCATCGGGCAATGCCAAATTGAACAAAAGCCAACTGACAACGTACAGGTGCTCGTGACGAAGCCTCTTAAGTGTGCAAATGCCACTACTGTCATCTCTGCTTCACTTACCCTTGTCAGCTTACATTCGTCGATATCGCTTCTTTGCCAGCCAATCAAACGCTTTCCGTTCTCTCTCGTAAAAAGTGGATCGTGTGTCTCTTTTCACTTCGGAAAGTTCTTCCGATGTATACCCTGTCCACGTTATATGTTTTGCTTGCGATGAGGCCGTTTAAGTGACATAGCATCTCATTATTGTGACATCTGGTGCGTACATCTTCGTCTACGGTAGGCAAGTGTAAAAATTTATTATTACTCTCTCATACAACGTAAATAAGGGAAACAAATAAAACAGAAAAGAAATTTAAAAAAGCTGTTTACGACAGGCACAAATTGTAACAGAACATGCGATATGCGTACGTTGACGCCACACTCCCCCCCCCCCCCCCCTTTTTTTTTGTGCCATCGCAAACCACAATTATGGGCAACACAACGGTGCTGGAAATTTCTCGATATATCATTTTAGATTTACGCGCTCGAGTTTTTCGACAGCCTTACAAGTTCGGTTGAGTGGTCCGTCTGGTAGCTGAAACAGGGCCGTAAGTCAATGACACAAGACTTCTGGTAATGGGGGGAAAAAAAAGGCAGAACACAGAGCACCGGTACTGAAGCACTGCTTCATTCCCCAGCACACCTATATGGGGCAGGTCAACAAACTTGACTCTTATTTTTTTCTTCCTTCGTCTGTCTGAGCGTCCCCTAACGAGTATATTAGGCGACAAGCTGCTTCGCAGGGGCACTTCCACAAGGGCGTTGCCTTATCGGTCCTCTCATTACATGTCACTTCGGTGATGAGCACTACCGCGTTGTAGCTTCCAAATTATACGGTGGTCGACAAAAGATTGCGATTCTCTCCGTATAAGGCCGCGTGCCCCTACACGCCGTGTTTAGGCTGAAACTCCGAAGCTTGCACTTAGGCATATCGCAGAAATATTCATGCGTCGACCTTCCTCAACTCGTTTTTAACGTTGCACGCGTTCATCGTTCCCTTCTCCCTCTCTCGAACTAATGGCGTAACACGACGTCCCCCTTTAGAGCGGTGACCTTTCGGAAGCCCACTAATTGCTGCCATCGTGGCTTGGCTCGGCTTCTTTCAAACATCACGCGCGAGCCCTTGCGACGTCTAGCATATATCTTATATATACACACACGCGCGCGCTTCCCTCTCTACCTCGGCTGCCGCTGGATAGTCAAGTCGCAGCCGGCCAGAAATGCGGCCAAACCAACGTTTCGGCACCCGTAATAACTTGCCCCTGATTGTAATTCAAGAGGCGCTCGTGGTATTTATTGCAATTACTGGTCCCCCGAGGAGAGACTGCGCGCGACATTTAGGCGGCTAGACTTCGGCTTGGCTTTGGCATGGCCATTTTAACGCAGCCGGAGCAGCGTCGCGCTGCCAACCAATCGCAGCGTTCGGTTTTCAAATGGCTGTCTCTCCGCTCACATACCTCTCCTCTCATCTGGAAAGCCGACGCCGGCATCGACAGCAACGCGCGAGGGGAAAGGTACGGAGCGTGCGGGGGTCGGAGACTACCGCCACCTAGTAGCCGATCGCGAAAACATTGGCGGCGCGCCTCCTCCGAGTTGGTGCCGAAAATGAACGGACAAGCAAAGGAAACTGATGGATGTGAATAATAACGGCGGGCGCGGCGCACAACCCTGTCATTAGCTCCGCTTAGCGATTCTTCTTTCCTCTTTCCTCATTGGTGGAGGTGATTACGTCGCGTAGGGGGCAAAAAATTTTTTGGATTAGTTTCTTTTATTTTGCTTTCGCGTGTCGCGAGTTTTTTTGTTATCTTACGATTCTGTGTACCCTTATGCTCTTACGAACCCCCCAACTCCACCCCCCCACGCTCGCTGTAGTTGTCACCGTACATTCTCTTCTTGTTGTGCCCTGGGTTGAGGCAGTCGTAATCGAAACCTGGGACGTTGTTAACCGAAATTGTTGCCTTTGCGCGGTACATATCGCCACAGGTCTTGGTGGATTCTTCAGTGGCGGAACTGGTTTTTTTCTTTTTCTGGCTCCGGTGCGTCTGGTTTTCTACGAACGGCGCTGGTGCGCTTCCCTGCTGCGATATTGTTGTTTCGGCATTATTGAAGCTGCGGCTCGCGTCGATTATTGGTCCCCCCCGCCCACCTCAAGCTCGGGGAAAACAAACGGGTGAGACTTCAAATTTCTCCGCATACGCATGTGCCTACGCGTGTGCTTAATGCCTCGTTCGCGTGTCTTACTGTTATGCGCCTCGTATTGGCCAGGTATCGCGTCCCCGCCGTTTTCCCCACTCCTGTCGACAACGATGCACTCTGGAGAGGCCCATTCGAGCGTCTCGAAAGGGTACCGACACCAATTTTCGAAGCTAAGTGTTACTCCTTTGTGCAAGTCTTCTGTGCAAAGAGACGGCTCTGGGAAAGTGTGAAGCTCGGAAGGTATTGATAAGATGTTTTAATTTGACGTAAAGGTCTTTTTTTTTTGTACGGGGCACATACTGACGTCCACACTAGCGTGACGACAGGCTGCGGTATCGTATCCATTCTGGCGACTCAGCGCATTGGTTGCGATGAGTTCAGGTATCAAAACATACAAAATAACCGCTCGTTCGTCGCCAACGGAACCACGCATTGGTTAGCACAGATATAATAAAGCATAATATTGGCAAAAGGAAAAAAAAAGAAAGTTCAAACAGAGAGAAACGTGATCTTAAGAACTCTTACTCATACGAAACAAGGCCTTTAGGGTCTATACAACAATGTGAGAAATTTTTTACAAGTTGTGACCATAGGCACACGTATACTACCAAATGTGAAAGGGAAAAAAACTGACTTGAGAATCACAAAAAAAAATAGTGCCTAAAAATGAACTACAGCTACAAGTTCAATAACAGCCTAAGTAGTATATTCGGGCAGGGAAAAAAAAACGCAATCATACATTTGTGTAATTTTACTCAGATGTAAGTTGAGAGAAGTTGCTAATGGAATCGGACAACCTGCTGAGATATATTTATTTACATATTTACATAGTTCCTGCAACACTACAGTGGCATTACTGCTGAGTGGTGTACATGCACAGTCAATATAGTTGACTCGTGAAAAGGAACCATAAGTTGGAGATTCCAAAAAACTTTGCCAGGCCAGTGTAATATGTTCCCGGCTTGGCTTGCTAGCCGCCTCAATACTGCGAAAAGGTAGTGGCTTGCATCACTGACCAGTGATCAATCGAATTGTGGTTAATTGAAACGCGGAGATTATCGCAAATGTACGCTGTACTTAAGTTGACAAGTTATAGTTTGTCCCCGACACGAGCGTCCACTTGCCGCTGTGAATGCGCATGACTTTTGTATCGCATGCAGGTTCGATTAAAACTAAGTGCACATCTCTTAGGTCTGTAATTACTTCCAGATTGCAGTTAGTAACTTATATTGCTTTATGTAACCTTGCCTGATGTTTTAAGTGCGTCATACGTATAATCGCGGAAAAAAGCAGCAAAACCAAACAATGCCGAAAAAAAAAAGTGGGCACAGATGTCATCGACGCTATATGTGCATTATTTGCGAGGTACACGCCACATATAAAACCGCAATACGACGGTGCAATATACGCGCACGCGCACACAGGTTCCAAGAATGTGCGAAGAACCACCGCCTTTCTGAAGCAGCTTTGGCTTCTTGGGCTTTGAAGCCACGATCGGCAAGCAAAAGCAAATAATGCGACAGTAATATCGGCACAAACGAGCATAGACACGAAGAGACGAGACAAGCGAGGACACAGGCACCTGTATTTATATTCGTCGTCTTCTTACGCGATTCTTGAATAGCGATATCTTGACTTTGATATAATGCACGACCGTTGCAACTAGCCCAACAGGTTTCTAAATGAACAGCAGTTGTACCAGTGGATCCACGTTCAAGATACTCACGGGTTCCCGTGCACTCGCCTAAGATGACTAGCAGGCGAAAGCCGTCTTGTTCTTTGTCTTCGCTGTCGATGTAGTCATCCACCCCTGGCTAGTTTTTTTGTTTTTCTTTTGCAGCGAGAGCTGTTTTAAGTTGTCCACCACCGCTGGTGTCCGTAACCACTATATATCGCACGAAATAAGAAAAAGAAACTTTAAGAAAATTAAGCACACAACGGGATTCGAATCCGGGTCCCCTGCGTGCCAACCCAGAATTTTACTGCAAACTTGCCTTCTAGGCATGCGGGCTTGATGTCGGGAAAAGAGTCGCGTTAGTATGAGTAATCAAGCGTTTTACAACCGCAAAGGAACAACCAGGCGACACACTATGCGAATTGCGAAACGAGTTGGTCGTCCAATGCTCCGACTCATTACAAAAGCTTGTTCTTGGTCTCCATTTAACTGCGGCGCAAACCCCGTTAAGGCATAATTCTTCATCATCGCATCAGCCACTGCTTAAAAAATTGCACAAGATTCCTTAAAAGTGTGTAGTGGATACTATGCATGCTTTTTCTAAGAATGACGAGGGATAGCACAGTGAATACCGGCTTATTGTGCAAAAGTTATTCATGGCGTAGTGGGTGCCCTTGCAAGTGTGCTTGTATTGTAGTTGCCTAAAGAGTATCTTAAAAAGGCTCTAGAAGTGCAACTGTTCTAGCATTCGCTGTGACTGTGCGGCGCGTTCCGCGCAGACCTGGCGGTTTTCGAACCTACCGTGATTTTGCACTGACTCCAAGATTGGGGACATTGCAAGTTCTACACCTCATAGAGTTTCCTACAATACTTACTAGAGGGAACTCTGGCGCAAGAGTCTATGGGAGCTGCAACGCACGGCGCTTCAGCCAGCATGGGAATGATGGGGCGTACACACATTTGTCTAATATTCGTACTTCTGGTTTGCTTTTGGCTCCGTGTGTGTTCGTGTGGCTTAAAGCTGTTTTCTTACGAAACAAGTATTAGAAAATGTTCAGCGGTTGCGCTTCCCCATTTTATTTTTTAGACTTGCTTTCCAAGTCGGCTCACAAAGTTCAAAAGGGTTCAATCTTTCTTTCAAAACAAAACCGAAACACAGCAATAAACGAAGCCGCAAGTACGATTTGCCGCCCGCAAGTACGAAGACTAGGCAAATGTGTGTACTACCCATCATTACCATGGTCGCCGAACGATCGCAGCGCCAGAGTGCCCTCTAGTTAATTTTGAGAAACTCTTTGCTGCACCTCACCTGGTTTCGTCCTGACTTCGTGATCGATCCACTCAAGGCTGAAAAACAATGTCACGTGATGACTTCATAATGTGACGTCACGTTATTTGAAGTAACGTAGAAGTTCAGGGGAAGCTGGAATCTTGAAGTAATCGGAAAGCCGGCGTTTTGGACAAGCGGACTTCTTCGGGGCTGCAGCTGCAATGTTCAACAGTTTCGCCAAGCTGCAATAGTTACAGCATCGGAAGGAAAAGTCCACTTGTCGACACGTCCGCTTCAGCGACACTCTGAGGTCTAGGGATTTTTCACTGCGTCGCGTTATTAGATGTCGTGGTGGCGTGCTGATGACGAAACGAATTTTGTCGCTTTGTGACGTCATTGCGATGTCGTATGGTGACTTCATCACGTGATGTTGATTTCTAGCATATCACTTGTGATTACGCCGACGCCGCCGATGGTCGATTTTCGCGTTTGATGCGGCATACAAAGATTTTGTCTTAAAGAAGTATTGACCCAGATTCTTAATATTTTCCACATTGTTCGCAAGGGCACTGGTGTCGAAACCTCTAAAAACAATTTCCTGGTGCATGTGATTCTGTCGTGTGTATTTTTTAATAGCGCTTCTTCAATAAAACGATTTTGGTTTCGATGCCAAGGTGCGGCTTCTCGGACGTCGTAATCGCAGTGGGATGTCCCTCGGAGACAGGAATTTGTGACGTACTAGCGGCACACCTGCCGTACGCTCGTGGTGAACGTACACAACGATGACCGAATTGTCTCCACCGGCAATGGTCTCGGCGATTCATGCCGCGTACAGGACGCTGATTTCGCAAACTCATTGGACTGTGTTACCTCGTCGGGATATTGTCCATTGCGATGGAGCTGACTGGCGAATGCTCAGCGACAAAACACTTAACAACCGACGTGAGATATTTCATACGTGTTATGACTCCCGTGAGGGAAGAGCGGGAACAGTGCATTCCAAGGGAAACGAGAAAAAAAAATGACCTTTTTGCAATGTTTCGTGCGTCGTTACTCCCTTAACATGATTTGCTTGCCTTCGTAGGGGAATGGTGAAGGAATTCGTGGACTTGCTGAACCAGGACCGGTCTCCAGCTGTGCAACACGCGGCCCCAGAGCATCCTCGATCCCAGCATCCAGCGCCACCTGACGCACTTCTCGCTCATCACGCACGGCTTCGGCAGTCCCGCGATTGTGGCCGCCCTGACGGCCGTGCAGAACTTCTTGAACGAGTCGGTCAAGTACCTCGAGAAGCAGATCAACACCTACCCCGGCGGCGCGCCGCCCCACCTGGCCTCCGTAGACCCCAAGAAAGAAGACGCTAAGAAGTAGGCCGTAGCCGTATAGCCTCCGCACTCGCGAAGCTATAGGAAGCTGGAGATGGACTTCGCCGGGGGGGACAAGCTGCCGATTTTTTTTTCCTCTCGGAATTTGAGACCGTGCCATTCTTGTCGTCCGTTTCGCGTAATCTTCAAAACCGAAAGGCGGTGTTGTAACCCCTAGAAACCACTCCAGCTCTTACATGCCGTGTAGAGAGCGTGGTGGCCTTGTGGTGACCCCAAGCGCCGTGTGCTTGATCAAACGCGCCGTGCCAACCTGCCTACGCGTCCGTCTGCTTGCTTGCTGTCTCCGGTTGTGCTGGTCAATGTGTTACCTGCGTGGCCTGTGACGATTCGCCGCCGCTACCAAGCAATACTCGTTTGTTACGCGACAACGCGAGAAGTGTAAAGATTGCCACCGGTAATATGCGATGGAACGCGAACAAGCACCGGTCGTCCATGAACGCGACAGAAATTCGATGCAGTACGACTCCGGTCATGTGACACGGGTTCCAGTATTACGGTCATTTCACGAGCAAGAACAAAATCGTCTTGGGAAAGAAAACGACGATCGTGTCTCATTGCGGTGCTCCCTCTCCAGTTCCAAAATTTGGCGATTCTTCAGACAAGCACTATGTGCCCAGGCTGAAACATTGACGGGCTAGTTAGTGCATAGCTCGTGGTTAAGGGTGGCATGGCAGTGATTGCATGGACATGCAAAGCAGTAGCAGTGCCGACTATAGAATCAATGTAATTGACCAAAAACTCGCTCCCAGTCTAGTTGGTACGTGGCTCCTGTCCTCGTTGTACACGTATTGCCTGCCGTGCTATCTCTCGGTGTAAAATGTCAGGGGCATTTGGTCAATAGCGAACACGCTTTGAAACGCCTATGAGCTTGCTCAAAACAGGACATACCTTCCCTGCCCTGTCCATTGCTCTATCAAACGCTCAATGACTAATGTCAATTACTACCAAAGGGGTCCACCGAAAAACCAGGACACGAACTAGACCACGAGTACGCCTTGCTGGCTTGTCTCTTGTCCTTGTTTTTTTGGTGCACCGCTTTGCCAGAACATATGCACGAACTAGCCCACCAACGAAGGCACAAAAGCACATGGGCAATGACTATTGGTTTACCAACTAGCTCGGATTCGAGCAATGTTCTGGGAGCCGCAGGATTCGGAAAGGAGCGTGGCAGCAACAACAGGGGCCACCAGTATGCCGACGGAAGTGTAGTAGTACCAGGCAGTGCGTGCGAAAAGGCTGTACACGGTTTAGGGGAGGAGTTTGTACTACAACATGGCCGCACCGTGTCGCTTCTGTGCTGTGATATCAACGAGGAGGACGGCGTCGGAGCGGCGGTAGTGGTCAAATCACCGACTCGCGGCTCCCTTGTGTCTGCGTGCGTGCGTGTCGTGTTGTGTTGAACAGTGCTTCGCGGCCACTCTGGCAAAATCGTGCTGCGGTTTAAAAAAAAATATAAACATTGTCGAAGAAAACCGCGCGACCTCTTCTTCCGTCTTCTCTCTTCGCGTCCTCCCCTGTCCGAGAAGAACGTCGAACGTAATAGAGACAAGATACTCCGACGAGCGCGGCCATAAGAGAACTGCAGTCTAGGAGTCGCAGCTGCGGGACCAAGCGTCATCCGACTGTACTGCCAGCACGGAGGAGAGGTCTTTTTTCCGCAGCTGCACGCCCACCCACGAGGGCTGGAATAGCGTCGTGGTGTCGTCGTTCGTCTTGTCTCGCTATTATTATTAAACCCCTGGGTGCCATAATGTGAACGTGTCGTCGAATGTGCCACACAACAGCGTCGTCGTGCTGACGGTGCGACCTCCGCATCTTCTTCGTCTTCACGCCCCGATGACGACGTCGAGACACAAGTCTCCTCCGTCAAGCGCGGTGGAATGGCGTTGTCATCGAAAGCTCAAATTGTTGCCAAAGCGAGAATGCGCTCGCCCCCTCCCCATTTTCGACTCACAGACACTCAACCTGCATTTTCTTTCTTCGTGAAGCTTTGTTTTTCTTATTTTTTTTTTTGAAACCCTGTGTAGACTCCTGGTGTGCTTGACCGCGATGCTCGGTCGTGTGTGTGACTCATCTGTATTCGCCTGGATCTTTCTTCTTCGCAACTTCTCCTTCTTAGGTGTGTTCTTGTCACTTGAACTCTCTGCTCACAGGTGTCTCTCTTATCGATATGTGTCTATTCATGTGCCATCCTGATGCCAGAATCGGTGCTTGACTGCTTTCGCTGTTGCGTGTTGCGTAAGGAACAACTTAACGGGTTGATTTTCTCTTCCAATTTGCCCATCGAGAATGAACAGTTATGTCCGTACGGCAGTCAAAAAAAAAAAAGTGTTGATGCATGTATTAGGAGCATGGCCGGACGCATCCTGTGTCCGGTTTGTGCATATCGGTGGGAGGAAATCGTTCTTCGTGAACGGCTACCATTTAACGTACGGCTGCACTTGCGTGAAAAAATTGCAGGAGAAAGCGACTTGCAGTATGTTTCCTACCTTACAGCGTGGACAATGTAATCGGACTCGGGGCCGTTAAATGCTGGTTCGCCAACCTGCCAGGCGCTGCAGATCGGTTAGGCCAATCGGAAGCAACCGGTTAGGTCGTGCGCGGAAGCTACGATTACAATAGTTTCTGATCACGTTTTCTTTAAAAGAGTTTGTCGTCATACTCGCGTGGTCTGCGAGAGTGAATCTAGTATTAAATCTGTCACAGTCAAGTATTTGAGTGTAACACTGGACTACAAAACTCTGTCGATATTGCCAAAGTTTACCGACAAAACTCGCCGGAAACGTGAAAGTGACAGTATCACATGACTTCCGTCACGGAACGGAGGGCGAACAATGTGGTAGTGCCGACTTTACAAAGGTATAGGCCCGTCCATAGACATGCTGCAGTCTACGGAAGGCATGCTACGCCACGAATGATTCCAGTGGCAACAGTGGTGGCGCCACACTGGTGTGGCCACCCTGCGAGGCTTTCCCTGACCAAAATGCTGAGAAACCGTTTTTCATGCCGCACCATTGTACTCTCAGAAAACTCAAAATGAAATTCGCTGACGCTTGTCAACAGTGTCTTCGCAGCGGCAGACAAGCAGAACATTGTTACAGTAATTCAAGCTCTCTGCAATACCTTGAGAACTATTCGCGTTAGCCTGCGTGCGTGCTATCCAATATCGGAGACCACGTTCAGTGAACTCTAGGCGTTCCACTTTCACAGCATGGCTCCACCAGCGCTGTTGTGAATTTCCACTGCCGTGGTATTCCGTAAACTGGTTTACAGACATCCTAATACGTATGCGACGCACGGGGAATGCTGACAGTTTTACGGGCACGCTATTTGTCATAATAGTCAGCTGTATTCCGTAAACCGTTCTACATACGCAACGTACTTGTCACATACGTTGTGAATTTCGTAAACTGTTTTACGGGCATCTGGGAAGTATCCACGGTACGGAAAATGTAAACGGTTCTACGAGTTTGCCATTGGTCATCATAGTGTGCGGTATTTCGCAAAACTGTTCTACAGACTTGATACACGTGTCGGAAACCAGGAGCATTCCGTAAGCTTTTACAGGCACGCTTTATGTATCCATACTCACCGTCGTTTCGGTACAAGCGCATTTCATGTTATGCGGCCGTGCATTTAACTTCCCGACGCGCGAGTCTGATCACTCTACCGGGTCCCCTATAGTGGGACCCTTATTAGGCGAGGTCTCGAACCAACATCTCCCAGCTCCTTTCGAAAGCAGTGCAACCGTCTCTGGCTGAAGGATCTGTCACTTCCGTCGCCCTACGGCAACTCAAGGCAATAATCATCAAGCAATGCACTTCATGTTGTATCTATAGTGGACGTGTCAAACATTTTTTTTCTCTCTATCTCACTGTGCTGTACCATACACGAAAGGCGAGTGATAGTTTAAAAAAAAATGAAAAAGTGGACGCGGGTGTGTATTTTTTTGTTGTTGTTGCTTACGTCACAGTATTCATGTCGTCACCAATGTCAGCGGTGCGGCCGATTGCTCATAATATAATGAATTCATTTTTGCCGTCAGGTCGCGCCACAAGTATGGAGGAGAGGCGCGCAAAAAGGTTTTTATATTTATTGGTAAAATACTGTGTTCATTTGTTTTTTTTTCTTCCTTTAATGGTGCAGCTGTTGCATTCTTTGTTCTGTGGCGTGTCTCAATATCCGTCGAGACGTGCTGGCTGGATTTTTGAAGGCGACGCTGTCTTCTCAGAAATTATTTTTTAGTGCTCTACGATTACCCAAGGTGCAATACATGCTCACTGAGTGAATGGCTGTGCAGTCGACGAAGCCGTATTGTGTGCGATGCTTTACTTTTATATTTTTTTAAATCTTTATTCTCACTTGTTCATACAACTGTTGCTGGCAACCTTTCAAACGTTTCATTTTGACTTTACCATTTCGCACAAGGCGGCACAGCTTTGTTTTATGGGGACCCAATTCCGTTTTATGTTGGCTTCTTCTTTTAGAAAACTGCATACTACCTCAGTCGCCGCCTATAAGTGTCGGTAATTGGTGGCTTTTTTTAAAAAAAACACATTAAAGGAAAACGTCGATCAGCTTATGTATTCGCTAGAAATGCTGTAGGATATTTTACATGACATCACTGCTAAACTGTCACATTCCAGAGCTGTAGTGGCGTAATGATTCGGGAGGGTCTATTTGCACCTTAACAGATCGGTGTTACGTGACCTGGGCAGAAACTTGACCGCTCTGTCAACTCTAGTGCTTGGTACACTGTGAGTACAGTATTGCGTTCTGTACATTTCCAGTACTCTTCTGTCGACCCTGCAGCGTGGTTTTCATGTGCAGCTTAGCTGTGTTCCCTGGGAGCAACGCGCTTGAGTACCCCTGGCAGTGTGTAGTACATTCAGAAGACTGTACTGTCGTCGCTATACTCAACATTATAGTGTACTGTCATTCAGTTCAGTATAGCTGAAGTATAATAGAGCTAGTGTCTATTATTGTATCCTGTACATAATACGGAACAGTATAGTGTACTAGATACTGTATAGTACGTTCTTATAGTGATGTTCAAGAATGTAAAGTACACTATAGTACATGGTACGCAATATTGTGCTGCACTAGTTGCACCGTACTACTGCTATACTGCGCTACACGACAGTACACCATACTGTCGACCCCGATTCTCGCAATAGCGATGCTCGCTCTGCAGTGCCCGCATCACTAGTTTGGTGCTACTAGTGACAGGGGTGAAACGCTGACATTGGCAAACGAGTGGTACCCATTGGCATCGGCAAACGAGTGGTACCCGAGTGGTACGCGGAATGGTTACCACTCCTTCCATTCAACTTGTACGGCGGTCGTATGACGTCACGCATGACGTTTCGGCTTGGTTCACGTGACCCCTAGCTGTCAAGGTGCAGTTGGGCTTTCTATCATTCAACTGGTGTCAGCCAGTGCGTGTTGTGTGAGTGCAGCATTACCCCCCCCCCTTTTTTTTACAGTATTTTTTTTTGTACTGTTTCGCCCTCATTTCAGT